AACAACCTCAATTAATACTAGCAACAAGGTGGCAAACTTTAGAACTTAACAAATACTTAAATTACACATTTGGATACTGGATATACTGCTTTACAAAGAGTGGGGCATTTTTCCACAGAAAAGCAAAGAATTCTTTCTTAATACCTAGACGACAAATTCTCAAGATGTACACAGTTGTTTCTTATTATGGCTTCCCTGGAAAACATTTCTGGGAAAGCACAATTCCCAGCCACCTACTTTGTTTACAACAGACAAGACTGCCTGTGTGGTATAAATAGGAGTCTGTCTTTAAATGCTGCTGAAAAATAAAATGCAACCATGAAAAGAAGCCATTTCCTGCCCCCAAGGTGGCTTAAAAAAAAAAAAAAAAAAAAAGCTTAGCTACTTTTGGAACAGCACCAAAGCATAAATAATAATTATCAATCGCCGCACAATAAGACTAATTAAAAAGAAAAAAAAAACAAACAAGCTACATATTCCAGTGATACCCTCGGAACTGTCGGAGGGTACTGGAAAGTTTTCTCACCCTGCAGGACTGTGAGACCTCTTTCTGGCCCCACGTGGGTGACGGGTATCTATGAGTCGCTCTTGTTTGGGCACATAAACCTGGCCTTGTCCCCCTAACTGCACTTTCAAAAGCAGATTCACAGTTGTTTGACTTTTGATCTGGGTAGCAGCTCACCCCACCACCTGCACTGTGCCTGAGCCATCACTGGCTTGCTTTGTCCCATCTGGTAACACAGCGAGCCTTTTAAAATGGATGTGTGAATACACTACTTTACAATGTGAGCGTTCAAACAAAAAAATATGGTGGCGGTGGTGGCGGCGGCGGCAGCAGCAGAAGGGGGCGGTTTGCTGGGGGGGGGGCCCGACACTCGCTTCATGAAGTTCAGATATTGTTCGCTGCATTTAATGAAACAGATGGCCAAAGGCCTCCCTCAACGTACAATGGAGCGGACAGTGGTGTAATGGTGTGGGGGCCTGGGATTGTAAGACGTTGTTTGGTGATGGTGTGTGTTTATAAATAGCCATTTACAAGGGCAGGGGCGGGGGCTCCTTTACTTGTTCATAGGAAGGCCGAGGACTCCTTGCTTCTAGTTAACAACTCGGCGCTGTGTTCAAAGACAGCATCGATGGTGAAGGTAAAGGGCACCCATCCTATTCTACATTGCATTAGAGAATGGCATGTATCTGGACAGAAAAAAAGAAAAAATCATAAAAGAAAGGTAATTCAAGAATTAGGTCAAATTGTGGCTCACAACCGAGGAAAATATGACGCTTTTCTACTGTGATTAATTAATGGACAAAAGTATTCTGTTATTGTGTAGGCACTTTCTTTATCTTTGAATGGACACGTTTGCATTGTAGCCAAAGTGCAACAGAGAAAAACCTGCAGGGTTTCAATAAATGACACCCGTGTGAACCTAGACAGCTACTGTGACACTACGCTTAGCTATCCCTCCAACAGTTATTCATTGACCAGGCCGAGCCAAGGTGACACGGCCTGTGCTCACTGCCAGGAGGCTGCTGACCACTACAATTCACACCTGAGGACCTGAGCGACCTGGTGAGCCAGAAACTCCTGGTGCCCTTAGGGAGGGGACGTGTCAGGGGAGCTGTCACCACCTCCAGAAACCATTCTGTCAATGGCCTGACTCAGGGGCATGAGAGGCTATGCTTGACCACAACTAAAGTTATTTTCAGTTCAGAAAACACTGCGGATCCTCTGCTTGTGTTTCCTGCTGTGTGGTGGGGTTGGATGCGTCAACCTGTCTAAATTTCTGCACAGGACTTGGCGGAAGGTCCACACTGCGGGGAAACGAGAATGACCCCTGGTTTCATTTCTCTCACTCGACTAGCCTCCCCTGCGCATTTCAGCTGGTTGCACAACAGTGTGGGGAACTATATAAAGTCCTTCTGGACATGTGGGAGGGGATAAAAGAGATCTAGGAGAAAATTCACAATATTCACAATGTGAAGCGGAAGGCGTTGGTGTCCTGAGAGAAGCACAAACGACTGTGAGGAGGGATCAGAGCAAAGAGAGCTCTCCCGGCTGGGACCCTGCTGAGGACTTGATGGAGAGAGAGGTGCTTCACCTGAGAGCCAGGCACAGACAGATGCTCGCCTGGAATATCTGGAAGATAACATCGGTGGGTCCGCTTCAGTTAACCAGATAGATATATGTACAGACGTTAGCACTGATGGAACATTGGTTTTACCTGTCTAACAGCAGACTAATCAACATAAGTAAAATGACCCAACTAAGGGAGCCATTTCTGTTCATTTTACAAATTTAAAAACGATCTAAGTTTGTTTTTATTTTTATTTTTGGTACGTGCCCTTGGCGGGAACTGAACCCAGGACTCTCTGGTCCGCAGGCCGACGCTCCAACCGCTGAGCCAAACCGGCCAGGGCAAAAACGATCTAAGTTTCAACAATAAAAATAATCAGCGATCCTTCTTTTACATAAAACAATTCCTTGGTTCGGTATATTCCAGACTCTTTACCTGCTCCCAGTCACAGAATTGTCATGTGGGAGTCGGGAAGCATAGGATGTGTGCCGGGACCACCCACGCTGCACATTTCTTCCCACCTCCGTGCAGGTGACAGGCGAGCGCCGTTCAATAGCACAGCTTCTCGTGAATCAGAAGCGCCGGCGGAGGCCGCCGTGCCGACAGTGAGGGTAGGAGAACGTGACTCCTGGAATAGGACTCAGCAGAGCAGGACGTGGATGGTGCCATGAGAAGGGGAGGACAGAACAGAGGAAGCCAAATCAGAGGACCTGAACGACCGACTTTGGCATGTGAACCTGGGTTCCACTTCTCTGGAGACCGATTTCCCGGGCAATAGTAAGAAATAACGAAGAAGGTAAAATATTTTTGCCTTTCCCCAATTCCAAAAGAAACCGTATGTCATGTGGGATAGTGCTCAGAAACGAACACTAACTCACGACCTGCGTGTGGTCCCAAAGACTCGTAGGTTCCAGCACTGATTCAAGGTACCCGAGGGTCTTGGCTGACACCAAGACCCCAGCTGGGCCTGGTCAAGAACACAGTCGCCAGTATGCACGGGTGGGTTTAAGAGTTCTCGCGGCTCAGACACAGCGAGGTGATGTCCATCTGGGGATTTTTATTCCTTTTCATTCTCTAGACGGGTCCCACAAGGAGGGGAGTCAGTGATTGACTGAGTTTGCCTACAAAGGGAACCCCAAGTAGACTTCAGCAGAGTAATTTTCTTCTGTGGGCTTTTGAAACGACCGCGTCAGTGTGACTTCCCCATAGAAAGCCCCGTCAAAGGTCGCAGGAGTTGTTTGTGCTTCACCCTCTCTAAATGACTTGCAAATTTATTCAAATGCAATATGAGAAGATGCTTGATTTGTTGAAATAACTGTCTGCTGTGCCCTGCGTGGAAGGGTGAGGTCCATCAAGCAGAAACACGGACAGAAATACCCTGGTTTGGAGACTCATAAATCCTTATTTGAGCCTGCCAACCTGAAAGCCACCAGCGGCCTGCATAAACTGTTTCTCCTAAATGCTACATCTGATTAAGCCATACCATTAAGTGACAGCTGAACTTTAACATTAATATGATATTATTTAAATAACCGCATGATTTTTTTTTTCACACTAAAAATGATGAATGATTTCTGGACAGCTCAATTGACATGAAGCAGGAGGCCTCTTTAATGAGATTTGACGAAATGGAGACATATGCAGAACGTTCGTTACAGCTCGCGTGGAGGGGGCCTCCCAGGGAAGCCATGGGGGGGTTCTTTTCTTTCTTATTGTCTGTAGGCACTGAAGCATTCCTATCCACCGCCACTCCTCTGTGGATTTTAGGTTTTTCTCAGTCACTTATATATTACGCTTAACCTGAGCACTGGGGGTTATGGTTCTGAATGGGGATGGCGCGTGCAGGGAATGAAGGGGTGCGTGCGGTGAGGTCAACATTGGTTGAAAGTGTCCCAGAGCTTTAGCCTTGCTACTGATTAGCCTGATAGAGAAATCACATCGGCCTTGAGAGGCAGCAACTATACCTTTGATTGGTTCTCATGAGATCAATCTCTAACACAACAAACACACTTTTAGCAAGTAATCATATATGGACACAGGAGCAGAGACGACTTGACTTCTGTTTGAACAGTTGTCTATTGCATCAATGAGAAAAACGATTCTCTTTATCATTCCAGTTGAGCTATTCTGGATTCTCAACATCCCTCATTCACATTTCCAGCCACAGCTCCAAACGGAAGGTTATGCTATATACTACTTGTATTTGGTGGATTCCGAACGTGAAATAATTACATGCTGAATATACCTAAGAAAAAAATGCCTTCACTTTTCAGTCAAATGAAAACCTTTCCCACTCCCCTCTGAGAAATGCAGGGTATAGAAAACTACCTACACTCATTCATTCATTTTTAAGCTCTCCCGAATAGTCTCCATCAAAGGTTAATTACACATATAAATCATTAACATTTGTTTGCTCACACATGTGAATTCAGATCATTCAGACATTCTTGAAGTTTTAAAAACCATCTTGAAGTATACATAAAATCGAGATGTTTCTCCAAAAAGCATCTCTTAAAAAAGAAATGAAAACAAAGGCAACAGAGCACAAAGCTAATACCAGGGGTGGTGTGAACACCGCTGACTGCATTCCCTCGCTGAGAAAGAGACGACTGAAATAGAAAATAAAATCACTCCGCTCCTGCCATGGGGCCTTCCTCAGGCTATGAAAAAATACTTCATGTCTAACCCTAATTTTTTCCCATAGCTTGAGGTAACCCCCTAGCAAAGCCTTCTCTCTAATCTAAGGCACTCATTGTGTGTCCGTGTCCAAACCAGAGTTAGTGTCCGTGCTCTGGCATTTCAAGGCTCTTAACAAAGGGTACTGAGAGCTGAAGCCTGTGTGCTTGACAAATGCCCAGTTGCAATGAGATGAAAAAGACAGTTAAAAACAGGGAGAGAGAGGAAGACGGGTCCCTACCTTGCTCTTACCTTCGCAACATCCCCGTCAGAACCCTGGAGCTTTTCCCCAAGTTAGCGTCGGTTTCCCGAAGCTAGGAGAAGACGCGCAGCATTAGGACAAGACAAAACAAAACTCTGGGCAATTAGATTATTTTCAAAGTGCATTGGCAGACAATAATTTCCTCTTGTGATAGAAAATCCAATTCATAAAAAAAATGCACTAAAGTACATTTTTGACACCTGTACAATCTCTGGAATTCTTAGATTTAGAAAATTACATGTGATAGATAATCCCGGGTGCTTTAAACTGGATACTTGAACTGGATATAAAAGCGTATGTCTCAAAGGCTGACAAAGTTTGATTAATATATGGGTAATTCATTATTTTTCCAGTTTGTGAATGTGCAAAGCTCTAGTAATATAAAAGGAGGCAAAATGAATTGAGGGAGGATGAGATTATTGTTTTTAGATTTTACTCCAAAAGACCTGACATACTCCTACATCTCCCTCAATGGCCTTGTCAGCAACAGAGCTGAATAAAATATTGACGCAGGGGGCACTGCAGGATGGGGACGTAAAGAGTCAGCTTATTCTTTCTCCACCCCATACTCTTCTGTTTCCTCTCCCCAGGCCCTACACCCCTCCGTCACCCCAGCCATTTTTAGGTATACTAACATCAACGCATTGCGAGTCTACACATGTGCCAAAGACCCTTGAATGTATGTCTTACCATTTACTGAATTTGTGAAAAGACTATATCACTTCTACTTACTCTCTCACGTGCTCTCTGAATCTTTTCTCTGTCATGACTGAGGTTTTCCAACACCTCCTGGCCAATTTGCTCTATGAAAAAGAAAACTTGAGTAAGGAAAGATGATTCTGGGTGTGAGTGGAAATTACTTTCAGCATTAGTACCAAAATGACCATGGGTGCAGAATTAATGTTAAATATATGCACGTTATATATCAGACACACATTTCAATTCATGTATTTGAAAAAAATTTTAAAAGCATTTGATGATTTTACCTATTTATCTTAGGTAAGATGAGACGCGATTTCAAATTCAACCTACAGAATATGACCACCACGGCAGTGATGATTTAGAGGTGATCTGACCTGCCCAAGGCCACCTCAGCATAGTATTTGCTGAGATGGCGAGTCCAGGTCCGATGGTTTCTCTACTATCATTGTTACATTTAGCCTTTGGTTTTTACAGGTTGTAAATAATGTTAATGGTTCTACTCTACCCTTCCTACTTCATTATTGCACTGTTTTGCATACGTAAGTGAAACTCCATTTAGAACCATGTTGATTTTAACGTATTCACCCCACATCAATAGTCCTCACACTCTCAATTCCTACAGCTAATTGAAGTTCAGTGTGGGTTCAGCTACTCTGGATGGTCGAGTCAGGGTGAGGTGCACTGGTTAGTCAGTAGTTGGGGAGAGCTCAAGCTGGAGACGATCTTCCAAACATTTACACTGCAGCAGGCAGGCAGGAACATTCAGGAAACAGCCACACTGCTGGGGGCCAATGGGGCTTTCCCCTGCCGTGCTCATCCCGTTTGGTTGGCAGTGGCCGGCGCTTCTCTGACTGTAGCATCTGTTACAAGACCTGACACACATTCAGCTGCCTTGAATAAATTCTTTTCACATTCATTCTCCAGCACCTGGGAGGTGCCTTATTCTATCACAGAAGAATGATCATCTACCTCTTTTCTTATCTTGGCAACTTGTCTGACTACCTTATTCTACATGTATTTTCTTGTTCTCTTGTATTTTCTCTTTGGTCATAACCTATGACAACAATCATCTCTGGCTAAGAAACTTACAGAAACATTCAAAAAGCATCTATTATAAGAACAGCAAATAACTTGGTAAAGTCATTAAGAAATCACCATGGTAGTTATTTGATTCATGTGTGCATACTGAGAAACATTTTATTCATATGGATTTAGTTTTTTAAGGTTAAGTATAACTTTTATTTGGCGATATTTCCCATGTAATTTAACATATCAAATAGGTTTAGTTAGTTTAATATCTCCTTTTTCCCAAGGAGAAAGAACAAATCTTTTCAAAGTAAACAAGAGAACAAATCTTTTGAGATTATCCAGGAACTCTCTAAGAAATCCCAAAGTTAGTTTGTGGTCAAAAGATTATTTAGAATTTGATTTGGGGAAACGTCAAAAATGTTAAAAGGTCTGAACTCTTGATTAAATAGATCATAGGTCACTATGAAACAATATCTAGTTATCCATCTAACCAAGTGACAATAGATTTTAAAGGCAAATAATAGAAAGTAACATAGTCCAGGAAAAAAAAAAAAAAACTAAAACCATAGCTTTTAAATACTGAGAAGAGTCACTATTTCTAAATAATCAAAGACCTGATAAAGCTAAGAAGAAGAACAGGAAATTCTGTCTGATGTCTTTCTAGAGGACATCCTACAACTGTAGGGCCGTGGGGAGGCCGTATTGAGAGCTGAGGCTGTGACCTCACTCTGCTCGAGCCTGCCCCCAGCACTGACCCAGGCTGTGCTGCCTCACACACGTCACCTAACTCGGTTGCGCCTCGTTTCACCACCTCCAAAATGGGGACAAAACAGCTCTGTGTCAGGGGTTGTTGGAAGGGTTAAGCAAGATATTCCAGTGAAAATACATAGCACAGTGACTGGTCTATAACAATAATTATTTATTGGATGATAATTGATATTTAAAGAAAAACACACCAATGAACTATTATGACACTGACCCCCTCCTACCATAACCCACCTGAACTGCAATTTTATTCATTGATTAAAACATATGTCCCATCTTTCTCACAGAATTGTTACTACAGCCAAATGAAATAACCTAAGTGAAAATGCTTTGAAAACTATAGGGTACCACAGAGATGCATGAAATCAGTGCACTCAGTGAATAATCATTGAATCCAGAACTCGGTGTCAGAGGTCGATGTTGGGAACATGGCCGGTCAAGACCAAGCCCTCGTACTGAAGGAACCGTCATGCGAATGGTAAAGATTTCGCAGTTAAAGGGCAAAGGTTACATTAGAGTTTGTATTTCATGGCACATCAGAGAAAGGAATGTACTGTATATCCCTTTCATGATAGAAAATCCAATTAATAACAGGCTTAAGTACAATAAGATACGTACATTTTTGATATCTATAAAACTCTGAAAAGTCTTTCCAGTATAGTACTTCCCCACTGTAGTACCTCCTCTCAGATTGATGTTAGCTTTTTATTATTACCTCCAAACAACATATCCTTAAGGTAAAATTGGGTATGTGGTTTCCAGGGGAGGCGTCATAAATGTTGGAAGATGACACCAATAGTTGAGAAAGAGAAAACACAAGGGTTGAATGTTTTCTTTTTTTGCATATTAGCTATAATATTGAATTTTGTCATTCTATTAGGCACTGCCATTATACTGAATTCCTTTAATCAATATAACATAGCAATTTTAATTCATTTTTAACTTAAAATACCTAATATCGATGAACACCATCAGTACTGAAATTATTTCAGCAAAATACTGTTTACATATTTTCTCTCAAGATTGATGGTATTGTAACATGTAGTAATTTTAAATGACTAGGAAGGAGATTATTACTCCTACTTTATTATTATTATTATTATTACCATTGTGTCTGTCACCAGCCTAATGTTCCCAATAAGTATTTGTGGAAGAAATAAAGCAACGAGAAAATAAAATAAAGGAAAAACGTAATACATGAGAGGCTTCTGATCCATTCCTGCTCTCAAAGCGTATCAAGCGCGGCACCGGAGAAGTCCATGTTGAAAGGCAGGTAATAGATCCACAATTCTATCAGGTTCACAGGGGAAAAACTCTAGTCTGAATGGATCTATAGTCTGCCACTGAAGGAATCAATGGAACAAGAGGTAAAGAGCTCAGGCCTTTTCGGGAGTCATAAATCCCTCCCTCAATCTCTTTGCCTCCTGGGACACATCTCAGCATGCTCACTATTAACCCTGTCTGGCAAAAGAAGAGATATTGGCGAGGGTGTACATGTCCTGGTGATAACACACAAATATACATTTGGTGGAAACAATTTTTTCATTTCTTACTTGCTACCCTCAATTTTAATACCCTAACACAGAAAATTCCAGGTCAAATGTGTTAGAAATGCTTACTCTTACAGAAAGAAAATGAAGATTCCAAGCAAAGACAGTTATGTAAGATTTTCCCCCCATTATGTGTTTCCCTACCCCTATCAAACCAAACCAAAACCACCACCTAGAGAGGATGATTTTTAAAATAGATTGTCCCTGGTTACAATAGTACGAGACATTTAGGGATTATTTCATTTAAAAATTAATAACATTGCTAGGTTTACTTTTCTTGAATAAATTAACTTTAGATGCAAGCACTCACCAACAACAGTAATGAAGGACACAAGGTCACAGGCCTGCACCAGAGCAGATGCGATTCACTGAGTCTAGAGTTTTCCATTTCACACTGTCAAAGCCTTCAGAGTGGGATAGCCATACTCCCTTTATTGAAATAATTTGAGAAATTATAAATTTTATAAATACTTCACTTCATCACTTTGCAAGGATCTCCTTCAGAGTAAGAAACAATGGGAAGCATACGAGACAATCCAAACCTAGGCTGTATGCTGAAATTCTACGTGTCAGAAGGAGCACGCTGAATGAATTCCTGGGAAGAAACGTTCCTTCCTGCACTTCTCCTGTCCTTTCCACGGGGTCCTGGGAATCGTCCTGGGAGCACTGCATTCCAATGTCGAAAGCCAGCTTTGTTTTCACAATTACCCAGAATGAATCATATCCTTGATCCATGGTCCTTTTTACTGGGTCACAAACTACAAAGTGGGATCTGGCCAACATTTTCTCTCTTTTACAATATATTGGGGGGAGAGGAGAGTATACAATAGGCATTCAAGACTTTCCTGCCCCTAAAGGAACGAAGCAGGAAGCAGGGAGTCACAGATGGAGCAGGACACTTCCTGCAGGGCCGGCCCGGCATTGCGAAAGATGAGACTTCGCTCTCGGAGGGTGCACCACTGACAAGCATCGCTGCTTTCCATTCACAGGATAACAGTGCTGCTCGAACCACCCTAAGGCTGACCAGAAGGAACTTTAAAAAATGTACTGAACTTGCAATTTGGAGATGAGCAGATTACAGTATTCTCTCTGAGAAGGCGGCATCGACTGACGTGCATGTCATCTTCTAACATAAACATGGCTGAAAAGGAAAAAGCCTCAACTATAATTCACCAGAAACATGTTTCCTGGAATAAACTCAAAATAGTCAAAAAAATAATTTTGGCCATTATGCTATAAGCAGTGCACCAACCAGAAATTAATGATTATTCCTCAGCAGACGCATATTTAACCTTTTTTTTACAAACTTTATCAAGGATGTGGTTTCCAACGAGTTATTTTCAAAAGTAAAAATCAGCCCGTCGAGTCTTCCTTAAAGGACTAGGAAAAGGTAAGGGTGTTTTCAGAAACTCAAAACTTCATTAGTAATTGCAGAACCAGGTCAAAGGCATTGAAATCACCCAGCGATTGTTTGCATTTGGGGACTTACGAAGCGCAGGAGTGCAAAGACGCACTGCAATAGAAGTTTTAGAAGCTTTCTTTGAAGTATGTGTTCTCATATGCATATTGCAGAACCCCAACCAGACAGATGCAAACACAAAGTAGTATTTCCTAACAACCGGGAGCACTGAAGTTTGGACATGGCTTGGGCACTTCTGGCCACTGAATCGAACAAAAGTAAAAACGCACTGCTATGGGAGAGCAAGGGAAGTCGTACCCAGCTTTCCAGGAGGGGGATGCCCGTGGAGTGGTCGGCT